CCCCCCCCACCCAAAAAAAAAAAAAAGTGGGAAGGGCGTTACTACTACACTCCGGCTAATGAACTTTGACCTGAAGTCACTTTTTTGTCCCGCCCGCAGTCACTTGGGGTTTAGGGTTTCAGTATGGAGTGTAGGTCTGGGCTTACCCTGCAGCCTGAACCTTCAAGCTTAGACCCCGAAGCTAGGCCTAGAAATGCGCCCCTGAAGCCTTTGACTCACAATTCCTTAGAGCCCTGAACCTCGAAACCCTGAGCCCTCAACGAGCGTCTACTGTAACACCTGAGTACCTGCCAGTGTGGAGAGGGGGGTCCTGGTAGCTCAGCATCTCCAAACACGTATAACCCTCGCTCCCAACCGCGCAAGCCTCCGCGACCTCAAAAGGGACGCCAGTGTCCTAGGACGGCGACAGGGCAGATAGGGTTCTGGACAAGGCAACTCGCTCAAACTCCCGAGGCCCTAAATGTGATATCTTCACAAAGACAACAAACTCCAAACCCAGCAGACGAGTCTGGGCGTCGGGCACTCTGATTCCGTCTGTTCTAACGAAACGAGTTATGACGGACTTGATGTAGTCGGCACTTTACACAGCTCGACGGGACTTAAATGAACATACGAACACCACCGACTTATCTTAAGGGCCGAGTACGGTTGACATTTTCAAGTATGGTAGGATTGTGAATAACCCCATGAGGTTAAAGGCTACCTACACGTTTACTGAGTTGTGGAGCATATTATGCCAAGTCTCACGGGGTTGTCAGGCCACTGGGTGCTGTAATGATGAAGACTTTACGGCTTCGGGTTAAGAGTTCACAGAGTATCATTTGAAACAGGGTCCGTCTGGGACAGACGTAGAGTAAGTGAAGGCTTCCTGCCTGAGATGTTGGAGGTATTCACGGGCAGCTGATACTTTGAAAGCACAGGATCCGATACGCAACTACATCATCAGGTTGACGAAAATGCTGACATGCTTTAGGGGCAAGAGAATCCAGACGATATCCGGCATACTGCGAATTAGTCCGTCCGGGCGTATTTCAGACGACCTGACATCTCCCTGTAGGCAGCCCTTCCAGTACAGCCAACACGCTGAGCCAGACTCTCCGGAAGTCTGAATTAATGATTCGGTGACGCCCTGCTGTTAACCCTAAAGTTGCCCTAATAGGACTGCAGGCTAGAACCTGGGAAACAAGCAACAGCTTGGCATGTTAAACCCTGATCGTTGCGAATCCAGTTGGGTGCGCTCTCGCACTCGGGCTTTCTTCTCGAGAGTGTCATCACCGCAATCAAAAAACACACTACAACCTAAGAGACCTTGCAAGAACAAAGGTTTATGTTATCTCTGCAGAACTAGTCTAGTAAGTTAACAGGAAGGGGAACTCAATCAAGGGAGACTAGCGTAGGGAACTGCGCATATGTGCCATGGGAGCTGGAACTGCCACGTTGCAACATGCAGGATTATGATTGACTAACATCAGAGGCATCTTTATGCAGTCTGTTATCATGAGAGCCTAATTGAAGGTGGGTGTGTGTGTGTGTGTCTGGGGGCATGATTCTCTGAGTCTCTGACATGACTTGTACAATCCTTCTCAAAACCTTGTCAAAGTCCTCTCAGCTTAAACAAGAGAAAAACAGAGCCAACGCCCCCCCTTACTGAGTCTTACTGTCTGCAACCCAAAATGGGCCAATGAGCCCGAGCTGCTTCGGCTCCAAACACAAAGGCCATGCCAGGGACCTCGACCAGGCCCGGCAGCTCAACTAACAATACAGAAGCGAAGCCTTAATGATCACCCCCTCAACCCGCATTCTCATCATTTAATGATGAGAATGCGGGTTGACGGGGTATGTTGTAGTATAACTCCATAGCTAATTAGGAACTACAAGGGGTAGTGAGACTACTTCTTCGGACCCCTAAATAAACGGACATCAGCTGGTCAGAGGCGAATCAAGCCAACCTGTACCCCAATATTGCACTTCGCCAGAGGGTTGGGATTTTAGTTTTCATGTGTCTGGGGGCCGCGTGGGCTACAGCAGCCCCGCTGTCGAACCGATAGTTCGGCTCAGGAATAACTAGTGAAACTAGTGGTTGTATCATGTTGTATCCAACCCAAGATCCCTACCCTAAATATTAGAAAACGTCTCTATAGAATCATACTAAAGTCTGCCCCAGTTGCTTAGGACCTGCCGGACTATCTTGCTGTGAAGCTTCAAGGCTCGGGGGATCGGGGAGTTCTCAGATTCAGGTCTTTGCTTATAAGGTTTGGCTTCGTAGGGCCTTGGGTTTAGGGCTTTGGGTCCAGGAATTTCGGGTTCCGTGGGCTTGTTGATCACAATTGTTTGGAGAGATTTCGGGCGCAGTGTGTGCTTGTTGGTCTGGCAGCAACCAACTCGCGCAGAGTTTGAGTGCCCGCCACCCTTGTGACCCAAATAAACCTCCCTGAAGCTACGTCCTTATGGCCAGAAGTTTTTTTTAAGGCGTGATTATGTACCTTGAACCAAAATACCACAAATGTCACCACTTTTTCTTTCTAGCAGCTCAGTCATGCAAGCATCTGCGATGACCGTCTATAGTCTAAACCCCTCAATAAACCCTAAACCCATGCCTGATCGTACAAGCCCCACCGAACCCCTCGAGCTAAGAGCAAGTGGCCGTTAGGTCCAGGTCCTCTGCCGGCAGAGGTGGGTTAGCCAGGCCGGCAGTGTCATTTTCAACCTGAGCAGGAAGTTAGGGTTTGGGTTGTGGAGGGTTTAGGTTTAGGGCTCGGTTTTTTGGAGATGGCTTCGGGATCCGTCGCTAGAAAGCCCCATGACTCCAAGATGCTCCAAGTACACAACACTGCCTCCTTTGGGGGCTTAAGCCTGTAGATGATCATGCCTTCGAGCCTCAAGCAGGGCTTGAGAAACCCCCACTTCGCCCAAAGGCTGACTCAAAAAGGATTGACATGGCTTGAAAGTTTAGGGCCTACGTGTGCATGGGGTTGTTTAAGAGAGTATACGAGCGTCGGAACTCGTGTGCAGACTTCGTACCCCCGTAGCCCTCGAAGCATGGCTATCGCATCACCCGCTGGATTGAGTGTCGTTGCGAGACGTGTTTATGCTCGTGGTTCTTGCGCACACACACACACACAGAGTGTGTGTGTGTGGGTGCGTGCGTTACGCAAAGGAACTCCTAGTCGCATCGATGCAGCAACCGATGTTTGAGACCAAGGTGCGCAAACAGGAAGATATCCGTGCTCAGTGCAAACCTGCGGACTGCAATAGCACGATTGGCCTTCCTCCTCCATCCCCACGCACTCTCTCTGTTCCCTGTGCTCTGTTTCTTCCCGTCCTCCACACCCCTCTTTCTCTCTCTCTCTCTCTTTCTCTCTCTCTCTCTCTCTCTCTCTCTCTGTTCGTCCTTCCCTGTCACTCTTCTTCTCCTTGGCACACAGTCGGTCTCTCTGTCCTCTTCTCCCCTCACTCCCTCCGTGTCCCCGTTCTTGCCACAGGATCTTGGAGTCTGGACAGCGTCGCGCAGCCAGAGCTGGCATGTTCTGGAGTTCATGAAATTCATCTCAGAGAAACAGACTTGCCGATGCTTCAAGATACGGGCAACGGAGTTCATGAACTTCATCTCATGGAGACAGACTCGTCTATGCTTCAAGATACTGGCAACCTATGATCTCAACCTCTGCCGTGCCTCAGCAACGAGCTTCGCGTACACACAGAAGACCAGGCTTAGTCTCTGCTAACTCGCCCCTTCTAGGGCCATGCTTTGCAATATATGAGCGCAGGACATGTTGTTGTGCAGCTGTTGAACCCGAATTAACAGTAACACCGAAAAGCTCAAGAAAAGGCAACGAATTCTGAACTCCGGTATCCTGGAAGTTTGCTCCCGACTCTGTGGCCCACTGGCACAAGATGTGGAGCGACCCCTATAAGCCCTAAACCCTATAAGCCCTAAGCCCTATAAACCCTAAACCCTAAAACCCTAAACCCTAAAACCCTAAACCCTAAACCCTAAAACCCTATAAATCCTAAACCCTAAACCTTGACAGCTCCAGCGCTGTCGGGCAGAGCGCAGCTGGAGACTCGCAGCGGCCAGCCGTGCCGGGCTGCCATGGAGATGCGGATGGCCTGGGGCACTCTACACTCTAATAGGGTTTAGGGTTTAGGGGTTACTCTATACTCTATATCCATGGCACTCTGTACTCACAGGCTCCTAAATAGTTCCTTTTTGTGGTTCATATTTCAAATTTAGAACCCTATAAGGTAATTTTCAAAAAAGGAACTGCTAAGGAGCCTATGGGTATACTCTATATATCCATAGGCTCCTTAATAGTTCCTTGTTGGGATTACCTTATAGGATCCTAAATAAAAAAACACAAAAAGGAACTGCTAAGGAGCCCATGGGTATACTCTATATATCCATGGGCATGCAACGTAATGAACAAGTTGGGACGTAACAGGCTCTCTACATCTTACATGCCTCAAACTGATTCCCAAACCGAAACCCTGGCACCCACATACATCCCTTGCACGCCCCGTTTTCGAAAACTCATAAAATCCTCTATGTAAACCCTCAGCCCTAGGCTTTCCCTCGCCTCCTCAAGTGGCGAGGGCCGTCGCTGCCGCGACTCCGCCAGACCGCCAGCCAAGAGACAGCCCTGACGGTTCGAGCGGATTAAGAGTTGCAGGGTTAAGGGTTACGGTTTCGGGGTTTCGGGTTTGGTGTTTATAGCGTGTTGGGGTTTAGGCTTATAGGATTTAGTAGATTTTTTGAGGGAGGGCGGTTTCAGGTTTAGGGTTTGGAGCCGTAGGGCTTTACAGGTTCAGCTGTAATTAGGGACTGTAGAGGCTTACGTTTAGGGTTGTAGGGCTGAAGGGGTTGATTAATTATCGGGTTTCAGCACTCGCAACTGGGACAAACCTGGCGAGGTGATTGGTCATCGAGCTTAGGGATTACAGGGTTTGTTGAGGTAGAGCTGGCTAAAGGGCTTGATTCGACTATAGGGTTTAGGGTCATTTGGGGCTTTCAGGTTTGGGTTAGGATTTGAGTCCTTGGGGTTCAGTTTTAGCGCAAGGATTGTGGTTGCCTTTCCGGAAAATTTTGTATCTTGGAAGCATAAGCCCGCAGCCTGAAGATTAAAGCAATGAGAAGTTGCAAAAAGCTGATGCCCGCGCGGCATCGGACAGCAGGGAAATGAACACCTTTCGCTGGCTTCGAGTTCAATATTTGTAAACGTATACCCACATGCTAGCAATCAGAACTAAAGGCCTATCCTACAACCCTCCACAACCCAAGAAATATGAATAGTGATGATAAAGGTCAAGGTGCATTCTCGTTTTGACGGAATATCTCCATTCTTCATACTTGGAGCCCGGGGGTGTGGCATAAGAAAAGCCCAGAAACCCAAGAGCCGATCCCACACTCTACCTTTCAAGTCTAGCAAGGCCTGCGCACCCAGAAGGTGGCTAGCACCTTGGTAGGTTTCGACTCACACACTCGAAAGAAGGCCGGTTTAGGGTTTAGGGCTAAGATTTAGGGTAACACGTTCAAGCTCAAAAACCCTAAAAAGAGTTGCTTGTTTTCCGGCTCTTCCCCCTAATCCTAAACACCAAAGCCTGCTCCCATACGTTTGTGATGGATGCCCAGAGCATACAGGGAAACCTCGGCCACAAGATGCTGTTGCTTTTAGAGATGCCTTTGTAGCATAGTAACCTGACTGTTGAACCCAGTCGGGGCCGGCAGAAGGCATGCGTGAAGGGCCTGGGATGTTGAGGAATGTACAGCTTTGGGGTCTGTATGGATTCAGTTGTCTCTTCGAACTACCATTCGTCTCTGTCGGCGGACACCAGATTCTCCCGAATCCCTAGCCCCTCGTTTTCTCTTCTGCATGTCTCTCACACTTACTATCCACCCTAAACCCACATCCTACACCCCAACTCTACAACCTAAGCCGCAGCGCGAAACAAGCCTCCGCCTCCCTCTCCGCAGTTTCAACACTTGGAAAATAGAGTTCGGAGGCCGCTGTGAAGCAAGACGACCCGAGGGCTCTCGCTCTCGAGCTTTCGAGGCTTCTGTCGGGCTTCGGGTTTAGTATTCACAGTGACAGTTTATTCGCTATGGAGTTTTGGAAGTTAAGCTGAGAGGCCCTCATGCGAGGATGTCTTCATATCAATGAGGGCTCGCGGAGGGGGAAAATGATGCGGGAGGCAGCGGGTGCTGCGAACTTATGTTCTCCTGCAAGAACCCTACGTTAGCCGCAGGTTTCGACAAGTGGGATGAGCCGGTGGGGAACAACATGCTGGCACGCATGATTTTTCTTTCAGGTGCCCAGGTATAAGTGGCCGAAAGGAGTACTGTAATGAACAAGGTTTATGTGTCTCACCTCGGCACGTAAGCTCGCGCCGACGTTGGGCGCAAATCGGACGCCGTGCAGAAATACCAGCGTCTGTGGATTATCCCGGCAAGGCCTGGGGATGCGAATCCGCACTGCATGGAGGAAGGGTTGCACAATCGCACACCCCCCAATCCATATATGCTTCAACTTCAAGTCACATGCAGTTCCTTACTATGGTGCACAGGAATCTCGGAGCAATCCCGATGGATGGCAACGGACGCTACACTTCGGAAGCAGGGTCCTATGGAGTTTCGACTTAAAAACCGCAGGAAGCCAGTCTCTCAGGGTTCGTGGTGTATCACCACGGCTCCAGCGATTCGAACTGGCATTGCCTGACTCCATGCCGAACGGCAGTGAAGTGTTAAGAGGGGTTGTACTACATGGAGACGAAGTACTGAGGACTGCGGTGCCCTTTTGCAGGGATCGGCAGTCTGAAATATCTTTGATGGCATTGCCATTTTTTCGGGCCCAAGGATGCATCCAAACTCAATTCCGAAGCTACGAAGCGGCGAAGCAAGGAGCATCAGGACGGGTCCGATGCCGGCTGATTCATGGGAACTCTTCAACCTTCTCTTGACGCAAAGTCCCAGCGATCCTATGCTTAGAGGCTCCCCTTCAAAGGATAACTCTGTAGGAGCTCTTTTTGAACCATAAGCCCTGTAGACTCAGAATTACAATATGGAGCCCTACAGCATGGTATTAGTAACAATAACTAATACCATGCTTCTTTCTGTATATTGCAGACCCAAAAAGTGTATAAATCTCAAAGCCGCAACCCTACCCCGACCCCCACAAGTATCCCTCACAAGACTTCCAGGGTCCCTCGTCCCTCCCTAAACCCTAAGCCCAAAGCACGGCTTTCACGCGGATTGGCCCAGGTGCTCGCCAATGTCCGCTAGCAGCTCCTGAGCAGAAACTAGGATAGTTTTTGGCTTTCGGGCTTAGGGGGCTTTAGCTTTTTGAGGGCCTTTGGGGCTTGGGGTTTAGGGTCAACAGTCAAGCGGTGAAGCCCAAAGAAACGGCCCGCTCCCCAGTGGCCCGGCTACTTGGATTCCGCTAGAAGAAGTGTTCCATCAACAGTGATGAGCTCCCGTTTTAGTAGTCAAACTTCGGCTTGTCATAACTTGGCCAGCAATTAACGGCTTCATTACTTGACTTAATACTTCAGTCTGCGCCCAAGCAACCTCGGGCGTGTCGAAGATCCTGGCCGGACCCACCGAAGTCGATGCGCCTTTGCTTGAGGCTGTTTGGGGTTAGGCTTTATGGCTAACGGGATCTGTAGGGGTTTGGTGGCTCTGCCATTTCTGTCCTTACAGGGGTTTGCCGTACGCAGTACCGACCCTGAAGAATCGCAGCCTGATTGTAAGGACCCTGCTGTGGTTTCCTCAACTATCCCTACAAGTAGGCAAATGAAGGGATGCTTACCCTCAGCTTCGAATTCCACTCCACATGATGAGGGAGGGAAGGAATAACGAGGTGCAATGGAAGGCCTGGAAGCATCAGACAAGGCTGCAAACATAGTGTCTACCTTGACCTTGACTACACAGGTCGGGGGGTGAAGGAAGAGCATTGCGAGCTTCGGGAGCTACTGCGAAGCGTAGGCTAGCCTTCGTACTAGACGAGGCTGCTCATCTTGTGCTTGATGCGTTTTAAGTTTTCAGGTATCCGAATTGTACAGTTTTACAGGTAGTTTCGCAGCAGCAACCACTGAAACTCAGACTTTCGCGATGGTCGCTAGCGTGTCTGTTTGTTTCCTGCAAAACCTGACGGCTCAGTCTCTAAGACACTGACTAATCAACTGAGTTCATTCAAGGAATCAAGGCCTTAAAGGTATGGAGGTGGTATTCATTCATCAACGGGTCTACAATAACAACAATGCTGCGAACTTCGGTTTCCTAACCTGCGGCTCTTCAGGCAAAGATCCAAGCGAAACCCATCGAAACCCTGAATGCACTCTAGCACACCGTACCTTGCATCCGTGCCCCCAACGCCTGTTCTGCTTGTTCAACCCCATGACGCCGAAATACCCAAGTCTACTGCATTCGGGGACAGCGTTCCATTTACACCCTAAGTTAACCCCGACACCGTGACACCGTCAACCGGGAACCCGGTGGGCACCTCGACGACATCCGCCATTTGAGACAGCGGCCTCACAACGAGCACACAGCAAAAACAATCGAGCGCAAAGTACATTGATGATGTGTAGAGGGAGTGGTGATCGCGGGAGTAGGACAGACGGAGCTTAAGGCCATGACCAGAAGAGATCAAACACTACACCCAAGAGAACCACCAGCACCAGTTCAAGCATCAGTACCCGTAGGCCTGTACCTGGTTGCTCCACTCCTAGCAAGTTGCTCCACTCCCAGCAAGAGGCAAGCAGTTGCAACATGTTGAACTCCCTGAAGATAACAAACTCGACGAGTGGCCGGCTGCAGAGGCGCCGGGAAGCAGGCGGTCAAGGCACCAGGGACGCCGTGGCAACGCAGCATCAAGGATGTCAGAGCTGTAACCCTAAACCCTATCCTTAAAGTCCCTGTACGCAACTGGTGTGTACTTCGGCCCTAAAACTAGTCCTATATAACTACTAGCTGAGTACATGGACCCTTCGGGTAAACTTACAAGCCAGAGTCATCGCAAGCCCCACATAACTTTAAGCCATATTCTGGTAAAGAAGAGCCGGTGCCTAAGGGCCGATCCTACCTTTTTCAAAGCCGAAAAGCTCAAGGGGATCCATCTTTTTGAGGACTTCGGGCTTGCTAAGTTTGGGGTTTATAGGGTTTAGGGTTCAGGGTTTAGGGTATAAGGTTTAGGGTTTAGGGTTCATAGTTTTTAGGGCTTTTTGGACTGGATTTGCATCGGTCGTTCTTTTAGAATAATTGGCTTCGAGTTATTATTGCCACCCTAACTGCGAATGGAACCGTAGGGAGCGATCTTGGCACAGTTCCTACAGCAAATTACCTAACTCTCCAGCAACCTGGGCTTTGTGGGTTGATGTCGAGACTAGCACGCCCAAGATGTGGGTAGTTCTCCAACTACGGTCCCCTTTTAAGTCCCTAAAACAGTACGGCACCCTTATAAACATCCTGAAGAAGGGCCCTAATATGGAGAACTACTCAAGTAAAGGTCACCCACTTCACCCACAAGATGAGGGAAATCCCAACAGATAACTCTACCGGGGAACCATAACATTAAATATGTGTCTGTGTATATATAAAATAAAATATAATATAAT